GGCCCCTATTTGTCAGCTATTGTCTAATATAGACCATTACCAAATGGAAACTATTTAGAAATATGTTTGGTAAAATATTGTAACTAACATTTTTATTTAGTTTATTTCTAAATTTAATTGTTTGTTTTTTGTTTTGTTTTGTTTTGTTTTGTTTTGTTTTGTTTTGTTTTGTTTTGTTTTGTTTTGTTTTGTTTTGTTTTGTTTTGTTTTGTTTTGTTTTGTTTTGTTTTGTTTTGTTTTTTAATCTTTTCACATGCTACAGGCCAATACCACTTTTTTATACACACCATCCTTCAAAAAGTTTGGGGTCAGTAGGATTTTAAATGTTTTAAAATAAGCTTCTTCTGCTCAACAAAGCTGCATTTATTTTATCAAAAGTACAGTACAAATTGTGAATGTTATTGCACTATAAAATAACAATTTAAAAGTAGTTTAGTATTTAATTTAATAATTTATTCCAGCAATTTTAAAGAAGATTGTTCAGCTTAGTTACTCGTCTTCAGAGTCACACAATAGTTCAGAAATCACTCTAATATTAATTATTATTATTATTAATTGAATATAATAAAAGCAATAATGACTAGAGTAATAATTTAATTTGAAACTATATACAATAAGAAAGCAGTTAGTTAAAATGTATATAAATATTTAACAATTATATATTTTTTTACATTTAATAAATACTGCTTTGATGAAAAGACTAATTTTCTTAAAAAAATAAACATGAGGAAAAACCTGACCCCAAACTTTTGACCAGTGGAGTGGAGTATGTTTGTATGTCAATTTTGAATGTTTCACAAAAAAAGAAAAAAACATTCCCCTTTCATTTTTTTCATATGCAAAAAAGAAAAGTCAAATCTATATATATATATATTTTTTATAGTAGCACATTTTGAATATTATCAAAGGTACAAAACACACTTTAGATGCCTTGTGGCAAAAAAAAAAAAAAAAAAAAAACCTTACGCAACCCAGCCAGCTAAGAAGAAATGTTTTTTCTTTCATTTTTTGAAAAGAAAAGACCTCAGGAAGAATAAAATCCAACATTTTATTCCTTAAAGAGGCTTAAAGTTTATCTCTCATTTTGTTTCCTGCAAGCAATACAAGCTCTCAACCCAGAAAGCATTTCGCAGTCAATAGAACTGAATGGATTTCTCAGTAAATGTTAGTGGAAAAACAAATATGATTTCTTCAGCTTTACCCCCACTGTGTTGATTGTTTAAATGATGCTTTAAATATATATTTTAAGCTATTTTTAAATGTAACCGTTGCTCCACTGACACCCCCTGCAGCTAAAAAGCTTTTTTTTTTTTGGAGCAACTTTTTGGTGAATTTGCTGCTGCTTGTTAGAAGATGAGAACAGATTTGCAGACTAAGTTAGTTAGTCTTAATTCTTCTTCCTCTGTTTTTATCTTTACTTCTGCTAAATTTACTATCAGCTGCAGAGATACAACAAAGTGAAGTACTGTACATCGTAGTTTTCTTTGAGCAGAACTTAGCAACATCGAAACCAACAACACGTAACATGCTATAAGTATAATTAGCTGAGAATGTAGCTGCTTGCAGAGATATGGAGAATGACAGTTTTGCCTCTCTAGATGTATTTTTATTACATGTATTTTTTTATTCTGTATAGACACTTCAGGTTACTAAAAAGCAAATGCAGTAGAGCAGTATTACATTTTAATGTAAATTCACACTGAATTCAGATATATTGCCTTGTTTTGTATTTGCTCTGCCAGTATATCAGACAATAATTATTATTATTTTATTATTATTATTATTATTATTATTATTATTATTATTATTATTATTATTGTTGTTGTTGTTGTTGTTGTTGTTGTTGTTGTTGTTGTTGTTGTTGTTGTTGTTGATTATTGTTTATTATTATTATTATTATTATTATTATTATTATTATTATTATTATTATTATTATTATTATTATGTGTTTAAATCAGTTTTATATTTTTATATTTATATTATTTTATATTTATATTTTCAAGTATTTTTGATATTTTATAATTGTCCAAGTTAATTTCGTCTTGTCCTGTATTTCATTGTATTTTTAATGCCCTTTAAAATTGTTTTGTTGATAAGTTGTGGTGCGTTGTACATTGTATTAAAATGAAAAACTGAAAAATAAAACCATCGAAAATTAAATCAAGTTGATAAAGTTCCATCATCATAATTTTCATCATATTAATTCATTCAATATTATGTTGGAGGCTTCAGTCTTATCTTATTATTTATTTATTTATTTATTTATTTATTTATTTATTTATTTATTTATTTATTTATTTATTTATTTGTTTGTTTGTTTGTTTGTTTGTTTGTTTTTTATTTGCTAATTTTTTTTATTTAATTTGATTTAATTTTATTTTATTTTATTTTATTTTATTTTATTTTGTTTTTTTTTTTGTTTTGTTTTGTTTTGTTTTGTTTTGTTTTATTTTATTTTATTTTATTATTTAGCCAATACATGGTTTTAAAATGCATGCTTGGTTTCTTAATAATTTAAGAAAGCAACATTTGTCAATATTTGTCATGAATATTTGTCACGTTTTCGTTTTTGCATCTTAACACATACAGAGTGACAGATTTTGTGACAACATTGATTGCAGAAGCATCAACATCTTAATGAATACCTCTCAAATACATTTCACAGATTGAACCAAAAATAACTTTTCATTTTTTTGCACTTGGCCCGTTTGCTCCCATCTCTCAAACTGTGCAGATCCCGTAGGTTGCGTGCGCGGTCTCAGCGTGTCACCTCGAATCACAACACGAGAGGCGCTTGCCACACGTCTAATTGCCTGAGCGTTTCTCGTTACAACTGCACTGGTGTGGTGAAGGCTAAAAACAGACCGCAGGGCCGACGGAAAGCGATGCACGCGTGTCCTCAAACCGTTGTTCTGTATCAATCAACGGCGATTCCATTACAGTTGCTGTGGTGTTAGTTGAATTAATTGATATGTTTTGTCTGCCTGTGGTTTGAGTCTCTAATGCCTTACCAGTGCAGGCCTGCTCAGCGCCACCAGATAATAGCTTGTTTTGCAAGCAGGTTGGATGTCTGTAAGTGGAGCGTGCTGATCTCTTTCGCTCTGTCTCTCTCTCTCTCAATTCCATTCAGTTCAATTCATTTACATAGAGCTTTATTGGCTTGACTTGTCAAGTATTTCCAAAGAATTGTAGATTACATAAACAATTAATAAAATCATAAAGTGATTATATGAGTATATTTATTCTTTTTATATATTTCTCAAGTTATGTTTTACAAAGCAATGAACTTTTCACAGTATTTCCTATAGTGTTTTTTTTTTTTCTTCTTCTTCTGGAGAAAGTCTAATGTGGTTTATTTCAGCTAGAATAAAAGCTGTTTTAAACGTTTTTTAAAGCCATATTAAGGTCAATATTATTAACCCAATTTAGAAATCCATTTTATTTGGATTGGCTTCTGAACAAACTATTAATTTTAGAAACTTGTTGAATATGTATTTCTCTCCCTTAAGGAGAAATTGGTGGAAAAAAAAAAAAAGTCTAATAGCCTAATTCTGACTTCAACTGTATATACTCTCACGGGCCACTTTATTAGTAACACCTCACTAGTACCGAGTTGGACCAACTTTTGCCTTCAGAACTGCTTTAATCCTTTGTGGCATAGATCCAACAAGGTACTGGAAATATTTCTGAGAATTTTTTGTCTATATTGACATGATAGCATCACACAGTTGCTGCAGATTTGTCAGCTGCACATCCTCAATGCTAATCTCCCATTCCACCACATCCCAAAGGTGCTCTATTGGATTGAGATATGGTGACTGTGGAGGCTATTTGAGTACAGTGTCATGTTCAAGAAACCAGTCTGAGATAATTTGCGCATTATGACATGGTGCAATATGCTGCTGAAAGTAGCCATCAAAACATTGGTACACTGTGCATGTCTATAAATGGATAGACATGATCAGCAACAATACTCACGTAGGCTGTGGCGTTGACACAATGTTCACTCGATACTAATGGAACCAAAATAAGTAAAGTGTAAATCCCCCACACCATTACACCACCACCACCAGCCTGAATTGTTGACACAAGGCAGGATGGATCCATGCTTTTTGTTGTTAACCCACAGCAGGAATCAGACCAGGCAACGTTTTTCCAATCTTCTATTGTCAAATGTTTGTGAGTATGTGCGAATTGTAGCCTCAGTGTCCTGTATAGCTGACAGGAGTGGAACCTGGTGTGGTCTTCTGCTGCTGTAGCCCATCTGCCTCAAGGTTGGACGTGTTGTGTGTTCAGAGATGCTCTTTTGCATGCCTCAGTTGAAATGATTGGTTATTTTGAGTTATTGTTGGCTTACTGTCAGCTGGAACCAGTCTGGCCATTCTCCACTGACCTCTGGCATCAACAAGGCTTTTGCGACCACAGAACTGCGCTCACTGGATATTTTCTCTTTTTCTGACCATTGTCTGCAAACTTTAGAGATGGTTGTTGCATGAAAATCCTAGTAGATCAGCAGTTTCTGAAATACTCAGACCAGCCTGTCTGGCATCAACAACCATGCCACAGTCAAAGTCTCTTAAATCACCTTTCATCCCCAGTCTGATGCTCAGTTTAAACTAAGCAGATGGGCTTGAGCATGTCTACATGCCTAAATGCATTGAGTTGCTGCAATGTTATTGGCTGATTCGAAATTTGCGTTAACAAGCAGTTAGACGTGTACCTAATAAAGTGGCCGGTGAGTGTATACGTATATACATCCAGACACTCTCCATAAAAATACAACTAGAATTTTAATAAATAAATAAACAAATAATAAAAAATACTAATAAATAAATAAATAAATAAATATGATATGATATATGATTTTTTTAATCATTGAAAGAGGAGAAAATATTACAAATAAACAAAGCAAAATAAAATAAAGTAAAACACACAACTGTACATTAGCTAAGATGGTTTGTAATGTTTCTCTCTTTCTCTCTCTCTCTCTCTGTGTATAGGCAATGCGCTGCAAAACCTGGTGTTCTCCAAGCAGCCGGGCAGCATTGTATTTCCAGTGGACTCTATGGAGAAGAGCAGGGAGGTGGTTTTCAGCTGTGAGGCGCAAGGTGACCCTCCTCCGTTTTACAGGTGAGCTCACTGCCAACGGCACAGAAACACTGATGTTTGGTCATCTGCATCACTGCTTCTGCAAATTGTACCTCAGTCCCTTTTTTACGGTTCTAAAACTGCACGGGCTCTTTTGTGCCAATGCACATTGGCATCGGCTAATGTACAGCGTGTCCTGAACAGGTGCGCTGTTATTGGCGATAAGAAATTTTATTTTTATTTATTTTTTTGGCTTAATAGCAGTTATATATACTGTATATAGAATTGCAATGAGTAGCTCCGCCCACAGTGAAATCTGATTGTTGACAGTGAAAATGACTGCTTTATTTATACAGCCCAAATATAACAACCTTTGTTGACCAATGTGCTTTCCAACAATAAATAAAAAGGAAACAGAACGCCCTCTTCTTACCAAACACACTATGATAGAAATGATAATAACTCTGTATGTTACTGTGTATTGCGGCATTTGCAACATAAAACATTTTCCGGAATAATTGGCAGTTCATTTCGCCGTCTTGACCCCTGGTATATCATAGACCAAGGCCCTGTTTACACTAATATGTTTTAGTTTAAGTTAAGCCACAGTTATATCTTCCATCTACACTACCCCAAAGTTTTCGAGCCCCAAAAATGGAGTGTTTCAAAAACACTGAAGAGACTGTTTTCATTTTAAAACGCTGCTGCTCTGTGTTAGTATGGATGGGGGAAAACGGAGACATCTGAAAACGGAGGCTGGGCTGCAGATATTTACATCTGATTGGGGCTTTTTCTCAATACTAAGTACACAAAGTTTAGTCTTGCATCCTTGCCTTCAGACTTTGCAAGTTTGCTAGGGAAAACAAACTCTCGAGGACACGTCAGGTAAATCTTCAAAGGAAACTCTATAACATCATTCACATCACCCTGGCTAAGTTGTTTCACTATCTTAACAATAAAATGAAAACAAGATCAAAGCAGCGGCCTATTTTCATTTTGATATTACCAGATACCAAAAGGCATCGTTTAGCTCAATATTTACCTGACTGTCATCGTCACTGTATGCATATTTATTTAAAAAATGAAGCCTATAAAATTACTGCTTCTTTAATGCCCATAATAATAGTATAACATACAATAACTATTGGAAATAAAGGCAAACAATCAGTCAAATGTGCAGAATCAGTGTGCATGGTTACATAAATTAAATTATTAACTTATCTTTGCACTCAGCCAAAACATGTTACCTGGGAACAAGTAATAGATTCAAAAGACCAAAGAGTCTTCAGAAAGAAAATAAATGAATTAAATATCACGTTTAACAACTATAGTGAGATTAGATCCAGCAGTAAATCCTTGATGAACTGTTCGACGTGAGCTGCTCTCGCCTGGGGAGTTTTGCTTAAAGCACCCCACTGACTGCCTGGAGCTCAGACCTCCGCATACAGTGTAATGCATGCTAAAGTGTGGAAAGAGATCTTTTTTAGAAACGCTAGGTGAAACACCAGTTTTGACATGGATTGTTTTTGTTCTAAAATGCAGTTTTAAAACTAAAACATATGGGGCCTAAGCTGAAGGATAGTTAGTGTGTGTGTGTGTGTGTGTGTGTGTGTGTGTGTGTGTGTGTGTGTGTGTGTGTGTGTGTGTGTTTGTGTGTTTGTGTGTGTGTGTGTGTGTGTGTGTGTGTGTGTGTGTGTGTGTGTGTGTGTGTGTGTGTGTGTGTGTGTGTGTGTGTGTGTGTGTGTGTGTGTGTGTGTGCGCGTGTGTGTGTGTGTGTGCGTGCGTGTGTGTGCATGTGTGCACATGTACATACTATTTGTGCATATAAAGAAAAATGATTCAAAGATTAAAAATTTATGTAATAGAGATTATTTGCAGTATAATTGAATTCTTTCAGTTAAGGTTTAGTATTTTTAGTTTGAGTGCTCACATTAAGCAAGTTGAATCTACTTGACATACTTTTAAGCCATTTTAAAGCAAATGCATAATTACTGAGCACTTCTGTTCAAAGGAATGTGATGGATAAGATTTTTTATGCATTTAAAGGAAGTCTCTTATGCCCACCAAGGCTGCATTTTTTTCTTTTTAAATATTTTTAAAGTGCTGGTTTTTGTGCTCAAGAGACAAGTCTATATGTTCTGATTTATGTATTCTGCAAACCATAGAATAAATTTCCAGGTTTCATATTTATATTATGTATGCATATATATATATATATATATATATATATATATATATATATATATATATATATATA